TAACAGATACAGACCATCCCTGAAACACATGCATGGCAGTGAAGATGCCTTTGATTGGCTAATTTTTATCACAAAGTGAAACTGACATGTTGTTTGCATAATATTGTATTATTTAAAATGAATTTTGTGAACTGTAGCTTATAATTTGATACCACCTTTGTTGGCTCCATACATTTGGGCCAAATGAAGGCGTTATTACTCTTTCTGTCACTTAAATCCAGCACCCTCTGGTGATGGATTTAACAAAGAAGACATATAGGCTTGATCTAAATACCTTAAATCAGCAAGGTCACCTAGGCCACAGAGGAAGAGCATCCATGGTCAACATATTGAGAGCTGACCAAATAGTGCTGGTACTATGTAGTTCCTACCTACCGCTAGGAACTATATAGTTACCCACAATCCTTTGATTGACCAGAGTTATAGGCAGAGCCCACCTTAGTTGAACAAAAGTACTTTATTTTTGCATGTGTATTCTGTGTGACGTGTACTAATGTACACCCCTTCATAGGTTTTAGGTTTATACTAGCTGAGAGGTTCAACCGTTAATTACATAAATGTAACTTCTGTTTTTTGTAGTTTTTTTCCCACTCTAGTTTGTAGTCCCGATTTGACTGGTATCATTCATGTGCATGTCCGCCGAGTTATGACGTTTTTATGGTTGATGGCTGCCAGAATTCAGTACAGCAGTCCGGAGCTCCTTTCCTAACGTAGATAGTGTTCTTACTTCTCCTCAGGAAAGATGAAGAAATAGGAGTGAAAACAGTAGGTAAGAGCTACAATTAGAGGTATTCAGATCATGCCATAGTTTTAAAAATGGTCAACTGTAAACCTGATTCTGGCCAGGCTAAGTTCATTAGGTATTTTGCCATAGTAACTGGGTCAGATTCAAAGCCAACCAGCCTTATGAAACCCAAATTATAACAAAACAAGCCAGAATTTACCAACTAAACCTGGTTAAAGAACAAAGCCCGTTTTGGCCCGTTGTACTCTCTTGAGTAAAAATCTTGTGGAGAATATTTATTGATCAGTTTGTGACCTTAATCTTTAGTGCTCTTGGGTTATACAGTGAGACAATAATCCAATAGTATCAGCAAGTTATCATTTGAATGACCTGGACAAACCTGTGTTTAAAAATCCAGTCTGACAATGTTGGAGTCAAAACGACTAATCGCTGGAATTGTCATCACAAAATAATTGTAATCAAGTAATTATGCTGCAACACAACAAATGTCAGGTTTGTGTTTTCTTAAAATAATTCTACAGAATTAAACTGTTAATTCACAAGGCTATGTGGGGTTTAACATAAACCTGCAAGCTTGTTGTCCTTATCAGAGAACAGGAGACAACGGGTTGCAAACTTTCCACACCTTATAAAATGCTTGCAGTTCACAGGTAAGCTGCTTACATTACAATAGAATTACAATAGTAAGTAATAAGTAATAGTAAGCTCCACTTCTGCTTGACTTTCCTCTGTGTGACCCAAAGTTTGTTCTCCTGTCCTAAGAAATAGCTTTAGGAATTAGATTAATAAATTTTTTGCTAAATTATTAATTTTAAAGATCTAAGGTTGTGTGAATGGTAGAGCTATTGTTTATTTGTTAAAGTATTGGTTTTGCTTTGACCCTCCTCCTTGTCAGTCCGCCTCCTGCTGAGATTAACAAGTAGAAGCAGCTGATGAGGTGGATCTCATTGTTTGAAGGAGTGAGGAGTGCAACAGTTTTTTCACACACATCGCTTAACGTTTATACTTGAATTTTTTGTAAGTCAACTCTGAGAATATTTCTGTTATTTTTAGTAAGTAAAGAAAACACCCCTTTTTGAAACAAGAAAATTCTCCACGAGTGCTTTTTGTTTTGTGAGTCGAAAAACCTCCTCCTAAGACTACTCTGGCAATTTTTGATTATTTGGGAAACTATTTTGATGCAAGAGTAGCCGTAAGAGCGTCAATACTTTATTTCCTGCTTTCTCCATAAATCTAAATGCTATCTGACAAAGTCCTGAATTAATGTTTGTTTTAACTGTAAAATAGCCACAATTTGGGCACAATATTCCTTTGTAAAAAAAAAAAATGTCTTAAAGAAAACGGATGACAGTATCCATGTGGTCTTTTGAATACACAAATGCATCAGGTACCAAAAGTAACTATTGAGAATTTGTTATTCTTATACATACCTGAGATTTTGGTTGAAACCACTCCAGGTATTCAGTTCTTCAGTTCAAACAGTTAAAGAAATAAAAGCTTCCCTCAGCTGTTTCATGGTCGACTCCTCTGGTGATCAAGATGGTTGACGGATAAAAAAACACAGACTAGTCACTCACCTCTCCATGTTGATGGTTTTCAGAGCACCTCATCGTCATCTATTGGTTTCTGGACAACACAGTATAACTTGTTGACCCAGCTTCAATGTGCCGGTTTGTTTTCATAGATTTGCTTTAGCTACCTGGGAGTCATATGTTGATACATGAGCCTTTTACTACATGTGTCTCAGTCAGCAGTCAAAGCAGGCGGCTTCTGTCATTCCAGAGCTGTCACTCAAACCACTAATTGGTTCGGTGTCTCCTGAGCGCTCTTTCAGCCTGATTATATTCGTGTTGCCTCTCTGTACCGTTTTTCTCTCTCCACCCTCCTGGCTGTGCTGGATGGTGCGGCAGGAGGGCACCAGCTCACCTACTGTAGCGGCGATGGGCTAAATCAGTGCAGAATGTAAAACACAGATGGCCATTGACTCACAAATGGGTTCATGGAAAATGAGAGCCTCTCCTGTCAGTCTGCTGAGTCTACTCCACTGCTTTGGGTTTTTTTTTTTTTCCATTTCCCTTCCTCATCTGTCAGCTTTTCCTCTTCCTCTTCTCGTTCCTTCTCCATCTTTCCTTTCCTCTCCTCTGTCGCCTTGGGCTTACAGTCAGGGTTAATTATCTCAGATCTGAGTTGTGTTTAATAGTTAATGTGATTTCTTTCTGTGTCAGAACTCTGTCCCCTCAATATTCTCTGAACATTTATCAATGCACGCTTGCATTAAGATATGCAACCTCGCCTACATGCCTGCAAAATCGCCTGCTTGCTTTGGCTGTCTGTCATTTCACCAAAATACCAACCATATGCCCAAACCAGCGTGCGCCTCTCCCCCAATTTCTTTCTCTCTAGGAAGCTAGATATAGAGTGAGTGGGAGTAGTGGTGAAAGAAAAAGAACAGGTGAGAGCTGTGGGGAGAACACAGGCTCCATCTGACAGGGACTGTAGGAGATTGAATTCGGGGTAGAGATGATGGAAGCAGCAAGAATGGAAAACCAAGGATAGGCCTCAGCTTTTCATTGCTATGCTGCACCATGAGGCAGGTTGAAGTGGAAGCGAATAGATTTGAAATTTTAATCACCTCTCTGCTTGCAATTTTGGTAGCCTCTCAATCAAAAACAGGAGCACCGCCGACACTTTGAGGAGGGATCATAAGGCGTTACCTGCTGTTCAAGTGTTTCGTTTCGAGAGGCTTCTGAGTACCATGCATTATGTACACGTGTGTTTGCTTTGGAACATTTCTGTTTATTCAAATACTTTTATGAGCTGGTTGTATAGTGGCCAAGAGAAGTCGCAGTGCTGCAGCTGCAAAAGCAGAGAATATGAACAAATTCATTTAAAAGCACCTGAAAAGCAGCAAGTGCTCCCCAGATACTCCCAAAAATCGGCAAATACTCAGAATGCTTAGAATATTCCCCTTATACACAAATGAAGTAGCATGCTGTAATCATAAAGAATTTAAAGATGCATTTTGGAGAGCCTGGACATTTTACAAACCAGACGGGTTTTATGTTTACTTGCAGATTGTTGTTCTTTTAATAAGACTGTTAACAGGAAGGCTTTCTTTTTAAATGCAGAGAGAAAGCTTTTCAGTCAGAGGATAGGGCTACAGATGTATTTTTATTGGATTTTGTTAGAGAGAGAAGACGGAAATGAGGTTGATGGAGTAATCTTAAAAAAAAAAAAAAAACAACTAACACCAAAGCAATTATAAGCAGAGTATGAAGGATAAATGACGAGTTGCATCTTTTGTAGCAGCAGGGATTTACCTGCTGCTAAGTAGCATTTGGTTTTATTTTCTTCAGTTTTTTTTTTTGTTTTTTTTGCAGGGCATTCAAAAGTTAAAAATAACTGTACAAAATTTATGTTGATAGTATTAAAAGCAAAGAAGCCCTCTATGGGCACATCACATGTTGCTGAGGCATTAAGGTGTTTAAAAAGAAGGATAACCCTCTACAGTATATACATTTCTTACATTTACATTGATTGTGATTTCTTTCTTTGAATTAGAAAGCTTACTGTAACTTTACATGCATTTACCAAGTCTTTAAACGGTTTGGAGATGCTTCCACGGCTTTGTAAACTTCTGATTTTTATTATATTCACCATTGATGGAGTCAACCTAAGAAGACTCACTGCATCCTTATGCAATATGATGAGATACAATCAAAATAAATCAGCTAAGACATAACTGGACGTCCACAATTATGGCTCACCCTTCAGTATAACTTAGAGATAGGTACGTGAGTGTGTTGTTGTGTAGTGTGTTGGTACAGTGTCGCTGGTGGAAAATGTTGAAAATTCAAGTCAGTGTATTGTCATTTATTATAACTGGTGTTCATTTATCAACCTACTAGTGATGACCTTTTCCTAAAGACATAACAAGAGATAAAAAGGATATAGAACCTTGGTTGAGATATGCTGGCATCCTTTTGATCAGGAAAACTGTAAACTGAAACTTCTTTATTTTTTTAAGAAAATTTCGAAAGATACAGTACTCTATTAAAGACTTTCAGTAAGTAGTAAAAATAATGATTGAGATGAGTTTGCAGAATGACCAGGAAGTCTGGCTGATTGGAAGTTACATGATTAAATAAGGGGTGGCTTAAAACGGTTGTTCAGCTATTTATGACAGATTTGGATTCATAAAGGTCACTCAGCTTTCTAATTTTTTTTTCTATCTGTCTTTTCCTTTGTCATTCAGCCTGGATACGTGAAGCTGTCCAAACCAGTGGCCCTTTGGACTCAGCAGGACGTTTGCAAATGGTTGAAAAAGCACTGTCCCAATCAGTATCAGATCTACAGCGACTCTTTCAAACAGCACGACATCACAGGTACATCTCTGAACCTAAACAATGTTCCCCGAAGAAAAGGCTGCTCAGTATTGCTAACATTTGATTTGATGTATATATCTTTATTTTAGGGTAGTGACAGCCTAGTGGTTAGGGCATAGGGCTTGGAATCCTGAGGTTGTGAGTTTGAAACCCACTCCAACAAACTGCTGCTCTGGATCTCTGAGCAAGAGTTTTAACCCCTGATTGCTCCCCGGGCGCTGCACAGTGGCAGCCCACTGCTCCCCAGGGGATGGGTTAAATGCAGAGAGTTAATTTCTCTTAAAAGTTCAGTTTTAATAAAGTTAAATTGATCTATTCAACAGACTTGTAAATTGAACACTAGCAAGAAAAGCAAAATAAATAAAAAAAACAGCAATCAATAATCTAAATATAGAAAACATAAAAATAGAGACTTTATATTATAAAGAGGCTAGGACCCAATGCTGAAACTTTGTGTTATTTCTCAAGCGATCCAATCGTGATGAAGATGCTTCACCCACCAAAACAAACTGCTGTCTGTCCTTCTCATAACTTTTTATCCAGTAAAACTCAATGCTCCTGATTCCATATTTTCCCAAATGATCTATTAATAAACCTTTACAATTATTTAAAATCATGTCTTTACATCTGTAAATATTCTGAGCACATTTTATTCTTTTTTTTCAATCAATATACATTATCTTTCTTTTAATATATTTTCCAATAATTTGGAAAATTGTGGAAGCACGGACTACAATTTGAATATTCTTGCTTACTTCCCTTTTTGTGTAAATATATTACTTTGAGTATTTTTTTGTGGAAATGACCTAGCTTGAAATAAATTTCAAGCTAGGTCATGCATGGCATTAGTGAAATAGATTTCACTAATGCCATGCATACCGTATATAAACCTGAAGTTTTTTAAGACTTTCTTTTTTTAACTATCTCCAAAAGATGTTTTATTTGTAACAAGGTTAAGAATTTAAAGATTTTGGACAACATTTAAAGAACTATGTTTTTATTTCATTTTTTTTTATTTGAATTTTTGTTATTCAAAACAGAAGGACTCAGTATTACATATGTATGTGAAGAGGTCTGAAATAAAAGTGTGGATTTCAATGATTGACTAAAACTTGCAACCTTTAAAGGTGCATAGTCATTTATAACCTAGGTGACTCTGCTTCCTTTAGATGTGTTGTATGGATTACCGCATCCTGCTGGTATGCTGCTTGTTTTATTTGTGTTTTATGCTTTGTTTATACTCACTGTGTTGGTAAATAAAGCCCTTTGTGTAATATGTAGAATAACAAAGGAGCTCTAATACTGTGCATGTAAACAAGGGGTAAATAACAAATCATACGGCTAAGCAACGGTTAGCACCTCCCAGTGAAGGTGTAAGAATGACGAAAAGTCTGAGATCCAGTAGCCTGATAAACCAGACTAAATGTGAGATTAAATGCGTCATTTAGTCTTGCCCCGATGAATGAGACTGCCACATTATTACATAATAAACATTTGCAGATGAGGAAACATCCATGGCTCCATTCTTTTGCCATGTACAAAATGAAGATTATAACTATATAGCCAGACCGAGGAACTTAGCCTCGTGAGACCATCCTGATCT